TATTTCCTACTGACACACTACAGCAAAAGATAGAAATAACTGACTTAAACCCATATTTTAGCTGCTGAAATAGTAATTTTGGCCACCACTGAATGATAATCTTCATATAACCTTACTGATAATATGGTATTTCCTACTTTGTGACAACCGAAAAAACAAATAATGGTAAGAAGGTTGTGAATTTATCGTCTTTCCTTATACTTTTTTTGTTTTAAAAACAAAAACTTGTTAATCGGGACTGAGCACAATTCAAGTAATTTAAGTATTGGTAATTAAACTAGTTACTTAGATCATCTAAATACTTCAGTTAATTAAATTAGCCTATTAAGTATTGGTTCGTTTGAAATGGCCACACCCACGGGATGTTAGTTTGGATTTGAATTGTAATGACAACAAGAGAAGGAATTTCATCAGTGACAAACATGAATAATTGAAACATTAATTGTGAATAATTATGCTAGTGTGTTCCCTGATATGTAAAATAGCCTACACGTTTCTCAAATTACAATGATAAAATGAAACAAATATTAACCTGTAAATTTGAATTTGTGAATTATGCAATTATATTTTGTAATTATTTCGTGAGTGAAGTACATCATTCTGGAAAATGAATAGTTCTTTCAATATGGTCTATAAAATGACCATTTCTGTTAACCCTAAACACAACAAAATTGTAAATACAGATAAAACACTTGTTTAAAAAAAGTATGGAAAAAAATTCATATTAATACAGTGCATTGTGCCCTATTTTATGTATTTTTCTTTATACACACACACACGTTATATATATACTGTGTATATATATATATATATATGCAAAGTAAAAAAAATAAAAAAAATGTACTGGCAATTTTTTTGCCAGGATATTATCCTTTAATTTTACAGACATTTCCGTTAACCCTAAAATGCAACACAATGAAATGAAAAATTCAAAATACAGATAAAACACCCTTTAAAAAAATCAATATGCAAAAATCCTTAATTTTAATACAGTCCATTGTGCCCTGTTTTTACAGATATATTTAAGTATTTAAACTGAAAAGCATTTAAATATCTTTTTAATGTCTGAATTTAAAAAAAAAAAAACTTTATTAAAGGTATTGTCAGTTGAGCTGCTCCTCTGTTGGGGGTCTGCAGGAGACTGAATGTTTCATCATTTGTCTCAGCTGTACAGTAGATGACTGATGACAGACCACAGAACAATGAGCAACAGACATTGAGCTCTATTCTCAAATAACACCATCTGTGTCTCGTGTTCCACAAACTACACGTTTGTCACTCCCTAAACCCCTGAGATACTTAAATATCAGTGATGGACGTCAAATAATAGTTCCTGTTCATCACATGGACACATTTCAGAAGTGCTGCATGTTTATTTCAGACCAAACACAGTTCTGCTCAACACAGCTTGTTACCATATGTGGATTATATGGCGTATGATGAGGCATCATGAAAAAGTCTGGAGGGTAAAAAACACTCTCTGCTGTATGCTTGCTCAATGTTGATTTGCAAACAACAGACGTGTGGTTTGCAAATGAGATATCAGGTATCAGTCAAAAGTTTGGACACACCTACTCATCTGCTTAATATGTTCCACGTTTAGTCATGAGCACTAAATGAAATGGCACAAATGGAAGTATGCAGTGAACAAAAAGGCTGAACAAATAGCCAATGTCCCTGTCTTTCTATTCATCAAAAATGCTGAAAAAATGGATCAGTTTTTATATTAATAATAAGAAATGTTCATGAGCAGCAAATCAGCATATTAGAATGATTTCTGAAGGATCATGTGACACTGATGTAATGATGCTGAAAATTCAGTTTTAATATCACAGGAATAAATAAATAATAGAAAACAGTTAAATAAAATAAAATTGAAAATAAATTGAATTAAAATAAAATTTGATTTTTTTTTTTACAATAATCCTATTTTTACTGTATTTTTGATCAAATAAACGCAGCGTTGGTGAGCATAAGAGGGTTCTTTCAAAAACACAAAAAAATCTTTATGACCCCCAACTTTTGAACAGTAGATATACATTTGTAATAGAAAATTAAACACGTTCATATTCATATTGAGTCACACTAGACCATAACACCTGATTAGGTAGAAAAGTACATTGATAAAAGATAATCTGAATATTTTACATTATAGTGTCAAATTAAGCCTTTTAATTAAGATGTTTTATGTTTTACATAAATATGTTTTACATTTATTTTTTTAAATTTTTTTTCCCCCCATTATAGTATATTGCTACAGTGAGGCCTTTTCAAAAAGTTCACCTTTGTACCTTATTTACTTCTAAAGGGTGCATATCAATACTTTAAAGGTGCATATTAGTACCTTACACGGCATTTACATGACCATTTACAACTAAAAATTTATTTTTAGCTGTTCATTTACATGACAATGGTGCTTTGAGGACCTGAAAATGCAAACTTTGGAAACCGGGTTTCAAAGTGCAAGTTTTTGAAAACTATATTGTTATCGTCTCTGTGTAAACTACAAAAACGCAAATTTGTGAAAACAATGACGTCATGTGCATATGTATTACGTCTTCAGTCTATAGGTAATGCTGCGTTCAAGTCCTCCTGGGACGTTCGTACTTACAAGTTGACAAGTCGTAATTACGACGTCAGGTGCGTTCAAGTCAGTTTAGTCAGCACAAGATGGCGGTGTACCTTCTTTTAATAAATTACAAGAAAATACAACAGGGTCTGTTAACTCTGCTTATAGAAAATGAAGAGCAAAGAATTCGCATCAGGTGTGTTTTGCGTTTTTAATATTTTTAAGTAACTGTAACAGATTACAGTTACATTTATTTTGTAATTAAATTGTGTTATTCCATTACATGTAGCTAGATACTCCCCAACACAGGACTTAATCAATGTAATGTGACCCTTCTGAATAAAAGGATTCATTTCTTACTACTAAGAAATATTACAAGTATCTATTGTTTAGTATTTTTCGTACTAATATTATTAGTAGTATTTCACATGGTACTCCCAAAAGGTATGAATAGTGTACCATTTGGTGTTCCACATGACTTTGATTACCATGGTACATGTCCACAACCTTGGTATTATTACCATGGCATATGCTCAAAATCATGGTTTATGTGTAAGAACATCATATTTCCATGGTACATATCCAAAAACAAAATGGAAATTCCATCAACATTTTAAAACAATGGTATTTTCTTGGTATTAAAAAATGGGGTATAATAAATGTCCAAACATGACCAAATAACCATGGTCCATGGTTTTAGAAATGTTTTTAAAAACACTGTATTACCATGGCACATCTTCAAAAACATGGTATTACTATGGTACATGTCCAAACAACATGATATTTTCATGTTGCATATCCATAAATGAAAAGACATTTCCATGACATGTGAACCCATAGTTTTTACATGGTATTATGTCCCAAAAAAAACAGGATATTACCATATACATGTCCAAATAACCATGGTATGTGTCCAAAGACACTGTATTAAAATGGTACTTTGTCTAAAACAGGTTAACAGCAGGTAATAGGTACTTTTTTGCTAGTGTTGTATATTCATTAACAAGGAAGACATTTTTTTATGGATGTATCCACAGGTATCCACAACACTGTCTCTCTCTTTATGTGGACATGCAGTAACAGTCTTGATAGGCAGTGTAATAATCAATTTCATATGCTTGTCATCTTCGCCTCTCTTTCCGTACACTAGTCGTCCCTTCAGACTAATAAGGGAAACCCAAGACAAATATATTAATTAATATTAATCTAACAGAGCCTCACAGGGAGACAAACAGCACTAAGAGTAACAGAGGTTAGACATCAGGGGTCATGCAAACATATCAGAAAGTGGGTGGACAGCGATGCCACATCCTGTTTGATTCAGGAGTGATTCCCAGGCCTTGTCATGGTAACCTCTGTTGGGGTTAAAGGTCAGAAGTTCTCTATGCTCTCACAAAAAGTATATTACATACTTTCAAAGAAAGAGACACAGAGGATGGGCTTAACTGATTCAGCTGTGCTCTTTTAGAGATTTAGCCTCCTCAAAGTCCAGGCAAAAGGGATTATGAGCTTTTTTTCTCTTAGGAGCGTGTTGATTTCCCAGTTACTGTTGCCCAGTTGGAGGGGTATGAAATGAAACCCTCTAAATCTTCAAAGACTGAAGTTATTTCAAATCCTGTTTTCTTCCTCAGTGTATGGCCTTAATCCAAGACCTGCTGAAGGAAATCCAGGAACTCAAAGAGTCCAGAGACGATCTGAGACTGGAAGTTGATGGTCTGAACAATCAGCTCAGCCAGGTGACCGGACATGCACACCAATATCATTAATCAAACAATTTTGCTAATAAATATTTAGCACTTGTGTTACTTGATAACATGTTGTCATCTTCAGCTGAACATGAATGAGTTGGCAGACCGTATCATGGCTATGGAGCAGTACTGCCACCAAGTGGAAGATTTGGACAACACTACGGTGAGTATTGCTGTTAAAGTACAACCAAAAATGTAACTTTTTCTCACCCTCCTATTGTTCCAAACCAATAGAAGTCTTTTTTCATGGAACAGAAAAGTAGGTATTTAGCAGAATGTCTGAGCTGATGTTTTCCATACAATGTAAGCATATAGTAACCGGTGACTGTCAAGTACCAAAAACTTTGCAAAAAACATGGTCCATATGACTCAATTGCTATAAGTCTGAAGCCATGTGCTTTGTGTGGGGAGCAGCCTGAAATGTGCACCATTATTCATTTAAAATCTTAGCTTGTGAAGACATGTTAATGCACGGATACATTAGCAACATTTTATCAAATGTTGAAACATTTTATTTCACTGACAAGAAGGTCCAATGTCTAAAGTTTAGCGATGTATGAAGCATCTCTTACTATTGCAGCTTTTCATTGGTCAGCATGAATTCAAACTAAATTTGCACTTCAGTCGAACTCCAGATTGCACAGATTCATATTTCAATCATGACAACTCTCAGAAGATTTTAGCATGATGATGGATATGGCAATGTTAATGTATTTGGTCTTGGCGGAATAGATCTGCTACGCTGCTGATGTTGGTTATTGCTGTAGTTGTAGATTATTGCTGCTGCTGCTGCAATCAAGTACAGGAACTTGCTACTGCCAATGCATACGGCGATACGGTGCCATGAGTATTTAAGACATACTGCTGCTGCACAAATAGCATATAAAATAACCCGTAGCAGATCTATACAGGTGGAGCTGGGGAAGGTGGAGGGTTTCAGAGAAACTTTGAAAGCACGCTGCAGGAATCTCAAGTGAATGCTAGCCAGCCATATAAATGCAAGGCAGTAAGCTCATTGGCTGCATATGCAGCATGAACCAGTCAGCTTGTACCAAGTCGTTTAACTCTCTGAATATCATCAGTTACGTTAACACCCGTCAGCCTGCGCCATCTAGAGTTTCATGACTGGATTTTGGCAGTGAAATTTTTTCAGGATTTTTTGATGAATAAAAATAGATGAATAGTTCATAATAACAGCATTTATTTGAAATAGAAATCTTTGTAACATTATAAATGTCTTTCCTGCCACTTTTTATGAATTTAATGCATCCTTGCTAAATGTAAGTATTAATTTATTTAATAAAAAATGTCACCAACCCAAACCTTTCAATGGTAGAATTAAAACATTCCATATATTTATTTAAACATGTCTATATATGTTTAAATAATGTTTTGATATATGGATTTTGCCCTTTCTAGTCAACTGAAATGTTATTTTTGTCAAAAAAGAAAAAATCCTAAAAATAAACCCTGCCCCAGTCACTATTCCGTATTGCAAAATGTTGCAGCTTCAACATTCTGCTGATTTTCTCTTTTCATGTTCCACAGAAGAAATAAAGTCAAACTGATCTGAATGACATGTTGATGAGTAAAACAAGACATAATGTTTCATTTTAGGTGAACTATCCCTTTAAATTGTTTTGTGCTCAAAGAATAACATGGACTTTCAGTGGATGGAGAGACTTTGCTGCCTTTACCTGACATCAGAAAATAGTTGTGTGGTGTTTATTTAGAAAACACACAAACACATAAAATTTTTCCTCTCTCTCTCAGAAAGAGCTGAAGGATAAGATGGCCCAGTACCCTGTTCCAGAGGAGCTCACGCAGTGTGTCACATGGGAAGTGATGCAGGCTGCGCTCATCAGCGAGAGGCAGAAAATTCAGGAGGTACGTCCAGCTGTAATCACTTCATACACAGCATGAAGTCAATTTAGTGTGTCCTGCAGCTTTCAGAAGCCAATAACCTTTCACAGCCACACTAAATCTCACAGGTTCTTATCACAGTCATTGTTTGGTTAGAGCAGGCGGCAGCTGCAGTTGAGGCAAACATTGACCGGAATGAATGATTTGCTAAATGTAAATGCATAACCAACATCTACAAACACAAACCGAGGCCAAAACCAAAGACATCCGTCTCAGTGTTTCATGCAAAGCGCAATATACGCTGAAGGACAAGCTGATTCTCATTCATGAGATGCTCTTTGTAAATTACATTCCCTCTTGCATTCCCAGGGGTTGCAGGACACCCTCTCCGCCGCTAAAAACATTGCACCCGTTCACCCTTTGAACCTGGGTATCCCGTTCAAAGACGACAGAGCGAGTACAGCTGGCACAGCTGGTGTAGATCTCTCTCGGCGGGTTTCTCCTCCCCAGCAGTCCCTGTCTGACGGGGCTCTGTGCACTGTGACGGGCCGCCGACTGTCCCGGGTCAGCATTGGGGCTGAGCGCTACCCGGAGACCGTAGAGGCTCTGGTGGAGGTGGGCGGACTGAGAGACAGGCACGAGAGTCTGGAGGCCCGCGTGGGGCAGCTGGAGGCGAACAAGGCTGATCAGACCCAGCTTCAACATCTGTGTGATCTTCTCAATGCCATGGGTACGACACAGACAGCAACATGCTTTATATGCATTATGTCTCTGTTATTCAATAATAATTCTAACCACAGTTATGATACATTATGCATATTCATGTTTACAAAGCGGCACGGCCTCAAGTCACCATCATGTCATTCTAAACCTATGTGACTGACTTCATCTGTGGAACACAAGATATTTTGAAGAATGTATAAATCGTTTCTTTCCATACAATGAAAGACAATGGGGTCCAAAACAACAATGAAAAACTTTAATTGTATAAACAAAAAAAAAACACTGAGACATTTCTCAAAATATATTCTATTGTGCTCTACAGAAGAAAGAAAGTCATACAGGTTTGAAACAACCTGATGGTGGGTTAAAAAATTAATTACTCACTTTCATGACTGTTTTAACACACTTTGTAATAATGTCAGATTAAACGTTTGTACTTTAAATTACATTTTAAATCATTGTTTCAATAATCTTTTGCCATGCTTTAAATAACGACACTTATTTTGATGTGTTGACTAACATACTAAAAAACATCTAAAGTACTTGATTATAATTTAACTGTAGTGAGTTATTCAGTATTACATTTACAAGTTAATTTGATTAATTTAGTGTAGTTTTAAATGTACTAAATTGCAGCTTCTTTTTGTAATTACAAATATATTTAAAAAAACATGAAATACAAGTTTTAATAGAAATGACATTAAAGTATATTTTAGTTTAAATGCGTGTCAGTACATTCATCAATACACTTTACCCATATTTCAATAGACAAGAGAAGTAATTATGAAATTAACTTTAAAAAGCACTCTATAGTTCAGTTAACTACATTTAATATAAATTTAAACAATATTACATTTTCATTTAATTGCAATTTCATTCAGTTCACACATAAGTACATTCTTTTAAAGCATATTATTTCCATAATAAGTACTTTTTTTTAGCAGTATGTTAAAGTGTACTAATTTTCACAAGGGATCTCTTTAATGTTAACATTGGAATAAACAATTTCCCATATTATGTCCATAGTTACCAAGAAACATATTTACTTAATATTTTTGTTTGCATTTTGCATCTGCACCTCATCCAATCAAATATCCCTCTCATAAAATGTGTTAAGAATACTTTTATAATGCAATTTTTGTTTACAGTAAAGTTACTATTAACCCTTGTGCGTCAATTAAAAAAGTTACTCTGAGGTCCTTGGAGGACAAAAAATGTCCCATGTCAAAAAAACTGTCATAAAAATGTGAAGCTTGGCAGACCCTTGGCAGATTATTGTTGAAGTTAAAAAAGTTGTAAAAAAAATTTTGAAACCAAAAAAAGTTAACGAGGTTTAAGTTTGTGAAAATGATTTATGAGCAAATTTTATATAAAATGTATATTTTATAAAACATGTTAGTTGCTAGAAAATCAAAGCCATAAATCTAAACAAGTTGTGTTCCAAATTTGAGGTTGATATCTCAAAAAATGAGCTTTTAGTAAGATTTTGTTTGGGTGCAGTACCAAACTTTTCCCATTAGATTCCAGCAAAGCTCCACTGGCGTACACAGCGGTGGGATTTGTGATTCGCAGTACAGTATAATTTCCCAGTATAATCATTTTTTTTAGGACACACATACAAACCACACTCTAACATCCATACTAACACACCCACACAATTATAGCTGCATAATTTATCCAAATGGCTCTATAATACAGCAAAAGCAGAAAACAGGAAAAATTTGAGTATTTGCTTTATAGGCCAAACCTGAGAAAATGGCACCATCTGGTAAAAAATTTAGGTTACACTTTACTTGAAGGGGTGTGCATAAGACAGACATGACACCTTCATAATCATGACATGACACCTACATAATCACGACATGACACATGTCATGAATATGAAGGGTTTTTATTTATGTTTATGACAACTGTCATTAAGTGTCATTCATTCAGTTATGTCATTTTTAATGCAAATATGACATTATTTGACCTAACCCTAACCATAGCCCATAACAAAGACATCTCAAACAATGTCATCTTTGCATTAAAAATGACATAACTGAATGAATGACACTTAATGACAGTTGTCATAAACATGCATAAAACCTCCTTCATATTCATGACATATGTCATGTCATGATTATGAAGGTATCATGTCAGTCTTATGCACACCCCTTCAAGTAAAGTGTTACCAAAATTTAATTTTGAAGCCTTGCCAACAGAATGAAAGCCTATTAACAAAGACTGCATCATTTTATAGTTAAATGGCCCTGGGATTAAAAATTGCCTTTTTAATGGGGACATTTTTGTCCTTAAGGTCCTGAGAGGAACAATTTTTTTGTACCTAGTGTAAAATAAGTTTATTAAAGGAAATGCAGGTAAAATATTACAATTCTAATAAAAATACACACTTGTGCCCAAATGTATGCAGTTGGCATTAACACAAAACAAAACTGAAAAAGACAAAAATTTCCATAAGGATGCATAAGGGTTAAGCTTGTGTATGTTTAAGTGTGTTTTTGACATTTTGCTTGATATGTTTTGTGATTTCTGTAGAAGAGAGGCAGATTCCTGACCGTGTACCAGAGCAGCTGAATCATCTGAGGGCTCTTGTGGACAGTCTGCTAGCAGATAAAGAGAAGGTATGACAGAAACACTCACTGACTATGATTTTAAAATCAAAGTAATAACTACTACACTCGAAACTGTCCTTCAAACCGGTCTTTTCATTTTGTTACTCTATCAGATTTTACAATCCCTTAAGAAGCTGATTTGATCTTTACAATATCTGTAATTATGTAAACAGAGCCTCATCTAGACGTATATTGTTCTTTGTCATTTGTGTCAGTCAAACAGACTCATTCCGGTGACTAAGCAACAAGTGCCGGGCTCTATCTATCTATCTATCTATCTATCTAAAATGAGGTTTTTGATCAGATTTAGTTTACTCCCGGGGAAGTTTTATGTAGGTCCAACACACAGACACACACATATACAGGAGCATAAGCAGCATGTTACAGTCTAGATGACTCCTGTAGGTGTCAGACGTGGAGAGTGTGTTGATGGACATGAGGACGGTACAGGTGTGTGAGAGTTCAGACTCTGCAGGACAGAGCACAGGTTCAGCCAGCGGTCAGGACACACACTCCTCACAGATAGAGCAGCTGAACCTGCAGACGACTCACATCAGGTACTACTCATCTCAAGTCTACCAGTCAACCATTAGAGACATGGGACAAAACGTATCCCACAATTTTGAAACAGCAACATTTGCATTCAGTGGTCAAAATTGGTCACTGTGTTCTAAAACCATTGTGTTATATAAATGTTGCATTAGCTGCAGTAATGAGAATGCAGCATCAGAAGAGAGATGTACAAACACATCTACAACATTTTAAACTGACACTATGTCAAGATCAAATTGTTCCTCAGTTTTCTGGAGGAAGTCATCCCACTAATTCTTTTATTAGCAGTTAAAAAAGAAAGCACAATAGAAGTGTTTTTTACTGTATGTCTCACACACACACATACACACACTCATGCAGGATTGCAGTACTGAAGCTGGATGAGAAAGTGCAGGAGCTGATAAGAGAGAAGATGCGTGACAGAGCAGAAGGGAGATACAGTGAAGACATACGCATACAAGAGCAGGTCAGACAGACAGAACTCGCCTGGGTCATATGGCAAACATTCATGATAAATTAGTTATATTTTATATATATATATATATTTTTATTTATTTTTTTCTTAAATATATACATGCATGTGTTTGTATTTATATATACATAATAAATATACACAGTACACACACATATATTATGTAAACAAAAACTTTTATTTTGGATGCGATTAATCGCGATTAATCGTTTGACAGCACTTATATATATATATAT